GGGAAAAACCCCTTCATCAGATGCATGGAGTGGATATCAGAGGTAGCGATGCACCCGCGCGCACCAGCATGCACCCGCGCCCACCAGCATGCACCCGCGCCCACCAGCATGCACCCGTGCACAGGTAGGACCGATGGTAATGAGGCTGATTCAGTCAGGGGATGGGGAGATGTGAAGACGGAGGGAGCCCGCCATTCCCTGCTCTTGCTCCAACCCAGGAGAAGTGTCAGCTTTGCAGATGTCTTGGCGCTCAGGCTCTCCTGGACGTCTGGTTTGGAAGCGTTTGTGTTGCGGGACGACCGCTTGTCAGTCTCTTACGGAGTGTCCAGGGAGGTTGAATGGCCCCTGCGGGTTCATGTGTGTGATACCATCCCTGATGTCTGCTTTGTGTCCCTTTGGCGCAGAGCCTGTCCGGTTTGGCCAGTGTCCATGGCAGAGGGACGTTGCTGGCACTGATGGCAGATCGCATCGGTGCATGGGCAGGTGGCTGAGCCCCTGGGGGTGTGGCCAGGTCCTGTGATGGTGTTGCTTGTGGTGGGGATGTTTGAGTGGAAACGACTAACCGTTCAGCCAATAATTGTCGGTTACACTCAGCAAAGCCATCTCCCCAGGAGCTGGGCAGGCGTGGGGCAGGCTCGCCCCGGGAGACTTCGCTGCGGGCTCTGCCGTTCACAGCTCAGCGTTACCCTGCAGGGCCCGTGCGCTGGGAACCGAGTCGCTGCTGAGATGTTCAGCGGTTCCTCGGTTGTCCTACGAATGTGGCGTCCAACTCGCCGGCCATTCGCCACACGTGGCTATTTGGACAGTTGCGTGGGGCTGGGTGGCTACTGCTTCCGAACTGGTTGGCCCCCACGGCCCTGCCATGGTTTTAACAGCCCTCGTTTGTGTGGACGTGTGCACCGTTGGCAACGGCGTTTGGTGCAGGGGAAGGGCCCTGGTGAGGGTTTGCTTGGGGGGCTGTCTGTGGCCTGTCTCCCAAGGCCTGTGACAGGGAGGGACCGTTTTCCAGGAGAGGTGGTGGATCACTGATGATGTGCTGGGGTTTGCCTGGTTGCTTCTGTCTTGTAGCGGGTGACTCCTGGGTACTTGTCTGGCTCTGCCAATCCGTTTCCTCACTTCCCCAGGTGGCTATTTCAGTGCTAAGAATGCCTGAGACAGATCCAGTTGGTGTTTGTCTGTGGGATTGGAGCAAATCTGGTTGCCTTTGAGGGCCTGGTTGTAAACAATGGCTTGTGTGATGTGTCCTGGACTGAGCTAGAGGCATGTAGGTCAGAATATTGGTCAGTAGGTTTCTGGTGTAGAGGGGTGTTCATGGGACCATCACTTACTTGCCCTGTGGTTCCAGGAAGTGGATGTCTTGTGTGGGCTGGTGCAGGCTGAGGTTGATGGTGGGGTGGAAGTTGTTGAAATCCCAATTGAATTCTTGAGGGATCTCCTTCCCGTATGATGAAGATGTCGACGGTGTCGCGTTCGAGGTCAGCCATAAAAATGTTAGCGAACTGGGGGGCCATGCTGGTGCTCGTGGCTGACTTGAAGGTGTAAATTGTCCCCAGACTGGGAATGGTTATGGGTGAGAACAGAGTCCCAGAGCTCGGCCGCTGCTGGGCTGTGGCATCGCTGGGGATATGGCTCCTGGCAGCTCCTCGGCCACCCTTATGTGGAATGTCGGTGCGGAGCGGTTCTGCGTCGTGGTGGCCAGTGGGTGTTTTCGGAAAGGCCTCTCGTTGCTTTGGCAGATAAGGGCTGACAGCTGCCCCATGGGACGTCATGTGCGTGGGGTGCTCCAGTGTCCATTGCCCCAGGCTTTTCCCGGGCTCTTGGAGGAACGACAGGCCCAGGCTTAGCGAGCCCCCACCTCCAGACAGCCTGCAGCCAACGCTTACGCAGCGGGCAGGTGCCCACAGCAGCCGGCAGCTCTTGGGCCTTGGTGCAGCGCGAGGGGCTGTGGTGCAGGCTGGGAAAGCAAAGTGCTGCTGCCCCCCAGGCCTCGGCCAGCGCCGGCCGCCACGCCCTGCCGCGTCCCCCCCCTGTGCGGCTGGGGCCCCGTGCAGGGCAGACTGGAGGGGCACTGCGGGCAGCGCAGGTTAGACGCCACCCCCGGTTCGCTGGCAGTCTCAGGACGCTGAGCTCAGCACCCTGGTCCCTGGCCGGTGGACGCGGCAGCAAAGCGCCC